AAATGCGCCATTAAATTTTATAACGAGTGTTTATATATGGGTGAATTGGTGGTCAGGTTGATGGTTTCATGAGTCAGTGTTTGTCTGGCAATAATGGGATTGCTACTTTACAGGGCACATTCGGGTTAGTAGTTGTTATATTATAGACCAGGGTCCACCTTATAAGGTGTACTCTGATTTTAAATTGTGAATATTTAGGATACGACAAATTATGTTATGGAACCGTGTTTACCTTGTAAGTTAGACACGATTCTAAAATTGTTCATAATTATGAATATATAGTTCAAAAATTATGAACATAAAGTTGTGAACATAATTATGAACATATAGTTCTGTAATTATGAATATAGAGATTCAATAATTGTGAATATGAAATTCAAAAATTATGAATATATAACTATATAATTATGAACATATAGTTTAGTAATTATAAAAATAGAATTCTATAATTAGAAATATAGAGTTCAATAATTATAAATATGAAGTTAAAAAATTATAAATATATAGTTTTATAATTATGAACATAAAACCGTGTTCAACTTGTAAGGTAGACACGATTTCACAATATAATAATTGAAGATAAATTATGAATATTTAGTATGTAAATTGTATATTTTTATATTAGCCGGGTAGTAAATTACCACAATCGGTGGATGGGTGGTGTTAATTAATAGACAAAGAAAAGATGGACGTTAATTACCTGCATGGCAGACGTAGCATCCCACGCTGCTATGAACTAGGATCTGCTGCTGCTGCACCCACCCTGAATGGATGATCCCTCTTCCCTTCACCCTCTCCGTGAACCCCGCCGGAAGGGCCCGGTTGAGCTCGGAAGCCACGTCAACATTGGCCGGAAAGTTCAGCACCAGAAAGAATGGAAGGCCGGTGAGTTCCAATCCTAGGGCCAGTTCTTTAATCTGATCGTCTTTCAAGAACGTTTCGCTCCCAAAAGAACAGTATATTACAGTGCTGGGTTCAAACTGGCTTAGCCAATCAGCCCATTTCTGGTCTAGCACGCCGGAGGCCGGCTCCGGCACCACCGGACCGGCGAGTAGAAGAGGCTTCTTGAATTGGGATTTCACGTAATCTATATACGGCGCTTCCATTTCGTAACAGGTCTTTGCTAGTATGGCGGAGCAGCCGTTTAGGCCGGCGAGAACGCGGTCGTACACGGAGGCGCCGCCGTTATGGGGTCTCTTGAAGATGATCACAAAATCTCGAGCTTCAAAGGTTCTCAAGGAAGCGACAGAAGTCGGAGGAAAACCCGGTGGCGGTTTCTTCATTTCTTCGACGGTGGGGGATCTTTCGGGGCCTGGAAGCCTGGCGGGGACGGTGGCAAAGGCGGTGGCCAGTGCAACAAAGACGGAGAAAAATATGGTTTTAATCCCGAGCTCCGCCGCGAGCGGCGGAAGCCAATTCTGGGCAAAATCAAAGATCACAAAATGGGGTTTGAGTTCAACGAGGAGCGCCTTGATCTGAGGCTGCATGAGGTTGAGAGCCACCGGGAGTAGCTCCGCCGCTTCCGGCGGCAAGTCGGCAGTGCTCTGAGCTCCCGGAGGAAGGCCCTCCACGGCGGGGAGCGTGAGAGGAACTATCTGAGTACATGGGTTCGAATTCAACATGGATTTAATCCGGTCGACGTTTCCGGCAGCCGAGAAGAAGGAAATCTTGACTCCATGAACGGATAGCTTGTTGGATAGCTGCACAAATGGGCTTATATGACCAAATGCAAAAAATGGAAACATCACAACATGAAGAAGATCATCACCATGATTATTTGTAGTCTCCCTCTCCATTGTTACGTTCTTGATTTTCCGGCCGCCACTCTACTTTTCCTAGGAAGTTCTCTTCACCGTTATATACCACACATTCCATGTTTTGTACTTAATTAGCTGAACTATTTGCAGAAAAAGTAGTTGATAAATTTTTATTTTTATTTTTTTTGGTGAAAATAAATTTGCTTTAATTTTACCTATAACATGTAGAATTATTTTGAATAATATAAATCTATTATTTTATACGTATATAGGCCTTAAATGTTAGGACTCTAGTTTTAGTAGTCTAGTAGAACTCTTTATATTTGTCTTCTATATTAGTATTGTACAGACTATTATTCGATTCGGTTAATCAATACAATCCTCATCTGGTATCATATCTAGGTTTCTTTCCATGGCAGCTTTGGGTGGGAATGATGATGGATCTGTTCGTGATTCCTCGAAACGGACCGTCTCCGAGGTTGCCTCCACCCTCATTTATCCGTCTCCGAGCTTGTCCAGTGCTCATCACTTTGTGTCGATCAAGCTCACCGCACACAATTATCTGTTCTGGCGTACTCAGATGCTCCCGTTTCTCGAAGGTCAGGGGGTGTTGGGTTTTGTTGACGGCTCGGTGGAGTGTCCGGCAGCTGCCTCGCCGGAAAAGTCGACGGCGGACAGCGGCAGCACTGCCTCGGCAGTGGCGTCGCCGGTGGTGCAGTGGCGTCGACAGGACAAGGCTGTCCTGTCTCTCTTGATCTCGTCCCTGTCGGGCGAGATGCTACCATTGGCGGTGGGCCGGCCGACGTCGCGTAAGTTGTGGTTGGCGATTGAGCAAGAGCTCGGCTCGGCAACGCGGTCTCGCGCGGTTCGTTTGCTCAGTGAACTGCAGCGTTTGTCGCAGGGGGCTTCATCCGTTTCAGATTATTTGAACCGGGCGCGGATTTTGGTGGAAGATTTGGCCCTTGCTGGGCGTCCGGTTCCTCTTGATGAGCAGAATATTTATGTCTTCCGTGGACTGCGGTCGGATCTTCGCCCGCTTGTTGCTCCGTTGACTCGTGGTGACCCGTTAACTCTCTCGGATCTTTCCGATTATTTAATTTCTCAAGAATATATCTGCGCAGGTGATGGTCCGGTTGGTGCGCCGGCTGCCTTGACCGTTCACCGTGGTGGCCGAGGCGGTCGTGGCGGAGGCCGGTTCTCCCGAGGTGGCTCGGGCAGTGGGGGTTCCGGCGGCAGTGGTTCGGGCAGCGGCAGTTCGGGCAGTGGCGGCCGTGGTCGCGGCGGCCGGGGCCTTGGCCGTGGTCGCTCGGATGTGCGTTATCAGATTTGTGACAAGATTGGGCACTCGGCAGCAAATTGTTGGCGCCGTTATTCTGAGTCGTCTGGTCCTCAGGCTAATGTGGCTTTTTCTGGTGGTGAGGGTGGTTCGGTTGACTCTCACCAATGGTTTCCTGATACGGGGGCTACTAATCATGCCACTCCCGATTCCTCTCAGTTGATGTCCTCGGCAGGTTATGACGGTTCGGACACTCTTCGTGTCGGCAATGGTGAAGGTATGCCTATCTTTAGTGTTGGGTCTACTTTGATAGCTACGTCTTCTAGAGTGTTTCGATTAGATGATGTTTTGCATGTCCCTGGTTTGTCTTCCTCTTTAATTTCTGTTCAACGCTTTGCTAAAGATAATCGTGTCTTTTTTGAGTTTCATCCTGACTGTTTTCTTGTGAAGGATCTCTTGACTAGGGAGGTGGTTTTTAAGGGGGGAACTTCTGGTGGCTTATACTCCTGGCCCGCGTCTTCTGCTCGTTCTGTTGCTTATGTTGCTGCGCGTGCTTCGTCTTCTACGTGGCACAAGCGGCTTGGTCACCCTCATACTCGGGTTCTTCGTCAGATTTTGCAGTCTTCTGGTGTTAGTAGTTTTAATTCTGTGTTTTCTATTTAAATTATTTTATCAAATTAATTATGTTTCATATTTTGTTATTAATATTTTTATAAAGTTTCGATGTGTTTTATTTTTCGTTCACACCCAACAATATTTACAACTATATTTCTTAGGTAATTTATTTATTTATTTTTAAATTATCTCTTTTGTTTTAATGTTTCGTCTTTACTGAAAAAAAATTATGAATCCGTCTGTACATTTTCGTCCCCCCTCAACCGAATTTCTGGCTCCATCCCTATATATATATATATATATATATACATCCGTAGACTAGTTTGATACTTTGAATCTTTAGATGATTGAAGAATTTTGAGTATTTTTAATTTTTAATATTGTTTTGATGTTATGACTTGTGAATTATCATTATTTCATTTATTTGGAGGTGTTATTTGATTGAATGTTAAAAACAGCCTCACTAAAATTGTCAAACTGCAAGTTTGTCACTGTTTTTTTTGCTCCCGCCTAGTGCCGCCTAGATTCTGCCTAGGCGCTAGGCGTTGCCCGGCGCCCGACTAGCACCTACTGCAACCATGACATTTAGAATATATTTTTTTTTTTATTTTAAATTTGTAAATATAATACAAGATCATTACAAATTATAAATTTTTAAAAGATAAATTATGAACATTTAATATATAAATTGTGTATTTTAGATTTAGAATCACTTTGCAAGGTGGATCCCAGTAATAAATTACCACGATCGGTGGGTGGGTGGTGTTAATTAATAGACAAAGAAAAGATGGATGCTAATTACCTGCATGGCAGACGTAGCATCCCACGCTGCTGTGAGCTAGGATCTGCTGCTGCTGCACCCACCCTGAATGGATGATCCCTCTTCTCTTCACCCTCTCCGTGAACCCTGCCGGAAGGGCCCGGTTCAGCTCGGAGGCCACGTCAACATTGGCCGGAAAATTCAGCACCAGAAAGAATGGAAGGCCGGTGAGTTCCAATCCTAGGGCCAGTTGTTTAATCTGATCGTCTTTCAAGAACGTTTCGCTCCCAAAACTGGCTTAGCCAATCAGCCCATTTCTGGTCTAGCATGCCGGAGGCTGGCTCCGGCACCACCGGACCGGCGAGTAGAAGAGGCTTCTTGAACTGGGATTTCATGTAATCAATATACGGCGCTTCCATTTCGTAACAGGTCTTTGCTAGTATGGCCGAGCAGCCTTTTAGGCCGGCAAGAAAGCGGCCATACACGGAGGCGCCGTTAGGGGGTCTCTTGAAGATGTTTAGAAAATCTCGAGCTTCAAAGGTTCTGAAGAAAGCGACGGAAGTCGGAGGAAAACCAGGCGGCGGTTTCTTCATTTCTTCGACGGTGGGGGATCTTTCGGGGCCGGGAAGCCTGGCGGGGACGGTTGCGAAAGCGGTGGCCAGTGCAACAAAGACGGAGTAAAATATGGTTTTAATCCCGAGCTCCGCCACGAGCGGCGGAAGCCAATTCTGGGCAAAATCAAAAATCACAAAATGGGGTTTGAGTTTAACGAGAAGCGCCTTGATTTGAGGCTGCATGAGGTTGAGAGCCACCAGGAGTAGCTCCGCCGCTTCCGGCGCCAAGTCGGCGGTGCTCTGAGCTCCCGGAGGAAGGCCCTCCACGGCGGGGAGCGTGAGAGGGACTATCTGAGTACATGGATTGGAATTCAACATGGATTTAATCCGGCGGATGTTTCCGGCAGCCGAGAAGAAGGAAATCTTGACTCCATGAACGGATAGCTTGTTGGATAGCTGCACAAATGGGCTTATATGGCCAAATCCAAAAGCCGGAAACATCACTACATGAAGAAGATCACCATGATTATTTGTAGTCTCCCTCTGCATTATTCTTGATTTTCCGGCCGCCACTCTACTTTTTATTTCCTAGGAAGTTCTCTTCACCCTTATATACCACACATTCCATGTTTTGTAATTAATTAGCTCAACTATTTAATTTGCAAAAAAAAGTGGTTGATAAATTTGCTTTTATTTTACCTTTAACATGTAATTTTTTTTTATTTTTTTAAGGATTATACTACTGACTTTTTTACAATATAGTATATGTTCATAGCTACTTTTTCAATCACAAAGAGTCAATACGACCCCATGACCTCTTATTTAGGAGAGCTACTTTGTGTCACTAGAACACATGGTCATTGACATGTACAATTATTTTGAATAATACAAATCTATTATTTTACACATATATAGGCGTGCGCGTTAAAAGGTTGTCATGTAAGACTTAAAGAATCAATGTCTATTTAAGGGGTGTGTTCAATTTTGACTTTTATGGGCTTTTAAAGATTTTGAAAGTTTACAGTTATTCAATTCAAACTGTTAGAGAGTCTTTTATCGACTTTTATTGGGATGCTACTGTTCGGGTTCTAAGGTATATCAAGAGAGCACCATGACAAGGTTTACTATATGATGATAGAGGACATGCTCAGGTTGTTGGGTACTCTGGTGCAGATTGAGCTGGTTGTCCATTTGACATGCGCTCTACTTCGAGTTATTGTGTACTCATTGGTGGTAATCTGGAAAAGTAAGAAGCAAGATGTTGTTGCCAGGTCCAGTGCTGAAGCTGAATATTGAGTCATGGCCCTTGTCACGTGTGAGCTTATGTGGCTGAAGCACTTAATTAGTACAAGAGTTGCAATGTGACAATGTTGCTCAAATGCCATTAATATGTGACAACCAAGGGGTGTTCAATCGGTTAACCGAATCGTTTTAACCGAACTGAATTAACCGAAGTTTTTTTTCTTTAACCGTTAACCGAACCGAAGTTTGCGCTACCGAATTCACCGAGCCGAAATTTTTTTCGGTTAACCGATTAACCGAACTTTTTAAAGTTAAAATTTAAAATTCTAAAAATAACACCTAAAATAATAAATTCAATTAAAATAAAATACATATCATAATAAATTCATAACAAAATATAAAAAACATGAATTATAAATTCCAAACAGCCATAACTTCAAATTAGCATTTATATTTATATTATTATTTTTATATATATTAAAAACTTCGGCTAACCGTTCGGTTAATTCGGTTAACCGTCCTTTCGAACCGAATTAACCGTTAACCGAAGTTTTAAAATTCCTTTAACCATTAACCGAACCGAAAAAAGTTCGGTTCGAAAACGGTTAACCGAACTTTGCCGGTTCGATCGGTTAACCAAAAACACAATAATTAGTTTCATTACAATAATTTAATTACAACAACACTAAAACATCATTTTAATTCAACTATAGTTTTATTTGACAATATATGTTTAATGTATGATCAGCCCTACTATTTAGTTTCATTACAGCAACACTAAAGTATCATTTTAATTTAATTACAAATATCACTTCACAATATACATTCAATGTATGAATAATCCTGATATTCAGTTTTATTCTATACACGCAATAGTTTCACTACACCAACACTAAAGTATTATTTTAATTTAACTAAAGTTTCATTTGACAATATATATTCGGGATGACAACGAGTTTATTATTATAACAACACTCAATATCATTTTTTTGGTGAAACCACATACAATATTGTTCAAGTATTACAACCACATGACGAAACATTGTTTCATTCTGTTTTTTTTTTTTTAATACATTTTAGCAAGGAATGAAACATTGCCTATAGAATAAAAATATTATCACCTTAATTAATGAAGCTTTAGGCCGGCTTGCAAAAATGGTGTCGAAAAAGAGAAGAAAATAACTGCTTTGAAGATTGGAGATGTAACAATGTCGTGCTAGAGAGGTAATGAAGCCAAATGTTTGCTTTTTTGTTATTATATTTTAAAAAAGTTGTTGCACTGCATGTTGGTTTAGTGTAACGACAATCCTCTTTTTTTTTTTTTTTTTTTTTCATTAAAAGAAATGACATTGTTTTGAACCATGATCCATTATGTAACAATTGACTTTTATTGAGCTATTGAGCCATTTGGGCTATGACATCGATATCAATTACTTAAAAATTAAGTGGGACAATTTTTATTTTTTTTTACTTTCAAAATTTTCAAAAAGTTATTGAAATGTTCTCTCAACTATACTGATTTCACTATTTTAGTTTTCTACATTTAATTTTGTTCAATGACACATAAATTAAAATTCGAGAATCAAAATGATGAGACCATTATAGTTGCGAGGTCATTTCAATAACTTACTCCCTTTAAATTAAAAATTATGATAATAATTTATTTATTTTCTTTTATAACTATAGATTTTTTTGGTCAGTCAACTAATAATTATCCACCAATTAACCACATGTCAAAACGGTAATTGCATTTTTAAGCTTTAATTATGATATTTTCATACATATTTACTACTTTTGTCATTTAATTATATAATTATAATGAAATATATATATATATATATATATATATATATATATATTATGTTGTGTTATTATACATATCATCATATTTAATTATTTTTGTAATTATATATATTATTTTAAATTATGTACTTATAGATGTTACAATTGCCTTATTTATTTATTTTAATTTTAATTTTAAAGGTATAAAATACATAAATATGTGTTAAAAGTATTAAAATATTAAATTTTAATATTACATATGTACATAAATTTTAACCAAACACAAAAATATAATAACATTCTCAATAATTTAACATTTTCAGCAATTTAACATTCATTTTTAGGAATCTTTTTTCTAAAAAAAAAAAAAAAAAAAAAAAACATTCCTTTTAAGTAATCTAAGAATCCTAACGTGAATCAAATGCCGCTAAGAATTTTGATTAACATAAAAGAGATTTGCGTCTATCTCTTCCACATTCTATGGTATAATAGTTTGGATTGGAGTTTAAAGCAAACAAGGGTGACGTGATATTCAGGGTTTAACGTCCTAAAATTCCATACACTACTCAGTGTCCAGCTCTCGTGCGACCGCGAAGTAATCATGGGTGGCGACTCGCAGTTTTTTTCTTATGGAGACGATTCTGGTCGGTTTGCTCTTCCTTTCCCTTCTGTACAGTCACCATTGTATGCTTAATCTACTGAAAATTTAAATGCCTAAGACTGTAATAGAGTGTGTTTGTGTGGGATTTCTGAAAATTTGATAAAGATTAGATTTTTTTTTTCCCCTTTCAGAAGAATCGTCATTACTCGGGCAAGATTTCTCTGTGCGATCACCTGCATCACCCATTTTCTCCGGGTACTATTTATAATTTTGATTGCTTGAGAGAAATATTGTGGGAATTAGTCTGTTTTCGCAGAAGTTAATTGTGGTTTGAACTGGTTTTGTAGTAATAGCGCTGGAGTGGATTGTGAGAGTGGACTTGGGGTTGAAGGATCTGAGATGGTTGGCCGTCCAATTCCGGCTAAACTGAAGCGATCACGCAACATATATAAGGAAGTTTTGAGGAGCTATGATGAAGTGCAGGGCCAAGCAGTGGCCCTAGAGTTGGCAAAACGCAAAATCTTGGGGTATTATTATACTCATTCTATAATTTCGTTTCTTCACATCACTTCAATTTGCAGCTCTCTAAGGACTAAAAAATTGGACTTTAAGGAACTAAAGAATTTGTAGTTGACTTAGTAGCTAGGTTACATGTTCGACTCTCAGCCAATTGGCCTTCTGGGTTTGAGCCGCTTGGCTATGAGACCTCATTGTGGTCCTTTGCCAGCTAGGGTCACAAGGTGGGGGTTGTACACCTTCGGGACTGCGGGTTTCCCTTAAAAAGCAAACCAAAAGAATTTGTTGTGACTTAGTAGCCAAGGTTACATGTTTGACTCTCAGCCAATTGGCCTTCTTCGTTTGAGCCGTTTCGCTATTGTGGTCCTTTGCCAGCTAGGGTCGGGGGTTGTACACCTTCGGGACTGCGTGTTTCCTTTAAAAAGCAAACCAAAAGAATTTGTAGGTTTTGCTGGTGGACTTGGCTTTTGTTGCTGTGAAAATTTTAGAAAATTTTTAAGGCTTAGAAGGAATTGGTACTGCAGGCTTATATATAACTTTTTGCAAAATTGATGAAAGGAATAAGCTTTTTAGTCGAAATAATGTGCAGTAGATGGAATGCATTACTAGGAATAAGAAACCAGAGAAAAATCCTTGCAACTATATATATATATATATATATATATATATATATATATATATATATATATATATATATAGTTTAGGATTGAGCTAGAAAGTTAAGTCAACACATACCCTCTTTGCTGCAGTTATACTCCTGGATCATGGACTGAAGCAGTTGGTGGTACATTCTTATGTGACTATAAAGTTCCAATTACGACAACCATCTTGTTGATTGGTACAAAAGGTTCTGGTAAAAGCAGTCTAGTGAACAAGATTTCAGCTGTTTTTGAGCCCGAAAGGTTTACTCCACAAAGAGCACAAGTGTCGTGTATGTCTTTTTCTCTTTTTCTCTTTAACATGAAGCCGGTAGAAATCTTTTGAATTCTCAAGACTGTTATAAACACATTGATTTTCAGTTAATCCTTCTATTGGAGCTGGTACCCGTTTTGCCCACGAGTACAAGATCCCGAGATACGCAAAATCTTTCTGTGTATATGATACGCGGTCCTTATCTTACAAGGAGTTTGAAAATGAAAAAATGCTGAAACGTTGGATGACAAATGGAGTTCGTCATGGAGAACCTGTTATAAGGTGTGGTTACTGGAAAACATTATGGTTGTTTCTAGTTTCTTTACTGTTGTTTGCTGATAACTTTAGCACCCTAAATGCATATCAGGGCTTATGATGATGTGGACGGTTTAAAGATTAGAATGAAGCGCAGCAAGGCTGAGAATGAATACGCACCCACCGTGGCTCGACCCATCAACTTTGTGGTGTTTGTTGTCAATGCCCTTTCGGTTCTTGAATCAATGGAAGGCAAAGATGAAACAAAGAAACGCTATACTCAAGTCGTTTCTAAAGCATTCAATAGCCCGTACCTATCATTCAAAGGTATTAATATAATTTAGTGTGTGTTGCTTATTATTATACTATTAGTACGTTACACCGATTTGTGTTGTTGTTGTTGTTCCTCAGATGACAAGCCTGTAGTTGTGGTTACCCATGGTGATTTACTCTCGGTTTCTGAGCGTGTTCGTGTTCGTGTTCACTTGGGGGACCTGCTGGGAATCCATCCAAAGAATCAGATTTTTGATATCCCTGGTGGGTGGGCTCACTTCATCCAATTCATTATAATATTTTTCTTGTTTACATGTTTAAACTTTGTTGTTGATCTGCAGAAAGCAAAGATTCTGCAACTGAACTGGCAATTCTTGATATGCTACACTATTGCCTCGACCACGCCGATAATAATCTACCCTTCGGAGGCTTTCTCTCGTGTCTGGTAAAAATTAAGACCATCCATTATTGAATATATATCTTACATTCACACACTACCGGAAATGAAATTCCCGACCACCTGAAAGTGATCTTAAAAGCAAAAAGTGGTCGGAAATAGCAATAAAGGTTTTTTCCGGTGGTCGGAAATTTCATAATTTCTAGTAGTGACACAAGTAGTTTTTTCACCACAGATTACATCAAAATTTAGGTGTGTGGCAAAGTTGATTATATTGTTGACAAGTAGGTAGTTTTTTTTTTTTGCAGTGTCCCCTGCTGCTGCTGCTGATAGCTTTACTGGTGGCGTGTTATTTGGCTTGGGTGTTTTGGTGACGTGTTATTTGCTTTGGGTGTCTATCCAGCAGTTGATTTAAGCTATGATGTCAATATCCCTGGATCCTGCAAGAACCACACACTCAAATTTATGCATTTTCTTATGGAAACTGAGGATGTTTTTGAGCTTCATATACAACAAATGCTAGAATAATAAGTAGTTCTTGTCTTCTCGTTTTCTAGTTTAGTAGCTGAGTGGAGTGACCTGCTTGAACAGTTCAGTTAATTCTTATAGTTTAGTAGTTAATTCTTATAGTTTAGTAGCTGAGTGGAGTGGTTTGCTCAGACAGTTCAATTAATTCTTAAATGAGGATTGTAGGCAAGTTTAGTAGCTCAGTGAATCCACTACCACGGACAACCTCAGCTACCTACCTCTTAATTTGATTTTCACTGGTCCTTTTAAAGCAACGTTATTAGATGTACTCTTGCTTTTTACTCTCTATGATGTGACATGCTTTGATTGCTTAATATAATGGTTAGGGAAAATGGCACTTTTTCTCCCTGAGTTATATACCTATAGCATGTTTTCCCCCTAAGTTATTGAAGTGGTTGTTTTTCCCCCTGAAATGTTAAATGGACATATTTACCCTTAAATTAAATATTTAATTTATTTTTTTCTCCAACAAATTATGACCATAATTTGGTTCAAACACTATAGCAACCAAACCAAAATATTCCAATTACAATTTAGAATCGAAATTCGATATTTAGAGTTTATTAAAATCATGAACTGGAACTGACGGTTTATGTTACGAAAAAAAATAAAATACATTTATTGTTGAATTTAGACTATTTTAAAATAAAAAAATAAAATTTTAAAATAAAGACGGTTCAAAGCCGCGAATCAGATCCGGAACCGCCGGTTCACGGTTCAAGATTCAATTACTTTGATACATAATTTTAATAAATTGACATTTAAATATTGGGTTCTAGATCTGAATTATAACCGTAAACTATTAATTCGATTGCTTTAGTATCCGGTTCAATTCAAATCGAACCGTGGTCATCCCTACGTATACGCAATAATTTGTTGGAGTAGTAAAATAAATAAAATGTTTACTTTAAGGGTATAAATGTCAATTTAATATATCAGGGGGGAAAAAGAACCACTTTTATAATAATTGAGGGGGCTAATGTGCTTACCTAAATAATTGATGGGGAAAAAGTGCTATAAGTATATAACTCAAGGGTAAAAAGTGCCGTTTTCCCTAATGGTTATGATGTCAAGCACCTTGTGCTCAAACGGCGCCTTTGTGACAAGGTGCTCTTTTATGGCAAGGTGCTCAGATGGCATTGGCCTCTGTAGCTCCCTTGGAAGGAAAGTTACACAGGATCGGACCCCGATCGTGGTGGGGTATTGATTTTTTGGTGGGTGGTAGTGATTATGATCTTTATCCATTACTTTTCTGATTTATAAAGATGTGACTTTTACTAAACAAACAATGTATGTTCATGATTTTAATTTACTCATGAACAAGAAATATTATATGTTTACAAACAATAATCAAATAAACAACACAATGACTATTTAAAAAAGCTAAACTAAAGTAGTATCTTAAAATTAAAAAAAAATAAAATGAAATAAATTGCACTTATGAGTTTATTGTGAATTGTTTTAAACGAACACTAAATATGCAAGTTCATAAACATTATTAAATGAACACTAACAAACATGTACACGAGTTCTATAAATCTAAAATTGTTTATTTATATTTGTTTATCTTAATAAACAAACGTTTACTAAACACGTAATTTATAAAGATATTATGCGATAAATTCAAAAAAGTGTTAGCAATAATCGAATGCATTACCCTATAACCATGTACTTTACACAATCCTACATTTTGGCTCCCAAACTTCCTCTTCCTATCGAGACTTTCATGTTTTAAACTTTTGTACTCCAACTCCCGAAACTCTCTTTTTTTCCTTATCATCTTTGTAGCCCCTACACCCAAGGGCGGAAGTACGTGAGCGGGTAGGGGGCCTTGGTTCCCCACCTTACCTAAAAATATAAATAATACTTATGTATATATATATATATATATATATATATATATATATATATATATATATATATATTATATTAAGTATAAAAAAAAAATTGGCTTCTCTCAATTTTTTTTTTTTAATTCTACTATGCATATATTAAATAAACCCAAAACATATATTGAGGTCCAAATTTACCAAATAAAAATAAATAAATCAAGTAATTAATTAGTTTTTTAATGTAATTAATTAGTTTTTTTAAAAGGAATGTAATTAATTAGTTAGTTATTATGTATTTTAATTAATTATTTACATTTTTAGAATGTACATTTGTTAATTCAAATGACTAGTTTTAAAATTGGAAAAGCTAATTTTAATATTAGTTCTTAAATTTGTGATTTTGAAATTCGTCTCCGTCCCTCAAGTTTTGAAATATTAAGTTAAATAGTAAAATGAATATCAGTTATTATGTAAAAAAAAAAAATGCTGCCAACAAAATAAATGACAACTTTTATTTGATAAAAGAGTGACAAGTAAGATTATTACTGTATATATTTTGTGTTATGTGAAAATTTTTAAAATATCAATTGACATCAATACCAATTGTTACATAAATTATCATTAAAAATTATAATCAATAATACATAGTATAATTAATTATGTATGGTATATATAATGATATCATGTATATATGATCCGTATTTATGTTGATTGACATTGTAAATTTTTTTATATATAATTTTGACTCCCTTTACATAAATTTTTTAGTTCCGCCCCTACCTGCCCCTTACCTAAGTAATATGTAAGTTAAACTTTCACCATTTTATTAAAATAAGGAATAAGGTTCAAATTGGCCACTGAACGTAACCTGAAAATGCAATTAGGCCACTGAACGAAAAAAAAGTGCAATTAGGCCATTGAACACTCAAAAAATGTGCAATTAGGCCACTGAACTCTCCAAACGTATGCAATTTTACCGGATAGCAGGTTACCATCAATTTTAGCAGGTTACCTGCTTACGTGGCAGCTTAGTTGGCATTTTTAATAATTTTTAAATAATTAATTTTAATAATAAATTTTATAAAAAATTGGAAAAAATTAAATAAAAAATAAAATAAAGTCGTTTTTATTTTTTAAAAAATTTTTAAATAAAAAGTTATTATTAAAATTTATTAAAAATTAATTAAAATTTATTAAAAATGCCAACTCAGCTGCCACGTAAGCAGGTAACCTGCTAAAATTGAGGGTAACCTGCTATCAGGTGAAATTGCACATTTTTGGAGTGTTCAGTGGCCTAATTGTACTTTTTTTTCGTTCAGTGGCCTAATTGCATTTTCAGGTTACGTTCAGTGGCCAATTTGAACCTTATTCCTTAAAATAATAAGTTACAATATACACGTACTGATATTATTATTACTTCATTTATCAACTTTCAATTGGTAATTTGCTTTTTTTATTTTTATTTAACCATATATTTTATCAACTTAAACTCAAAGAATCATCCACTTTCTATGGAACTTTGAGTTAGTCAATATGCTTATGGATAAAGCAAACAACGGTGGTGACGTAATTCAAGGTTAGCGTAAGACGATCCTAAATTTCCATACACTACTGGACTCTCAGTGTCCAGCTCTCTCATGCGACGGTGAGAAATTCCGGCAGGCCGGAGATATCATAATCACCTATTCATTTCATATCAATCTTTTCCGGCGAATTGAAGCGATCATGGGCGGCGATAGAGACTCGCCTTTTCTTACTTCTACTCACGATTCTGGTCGGTTTGCTCTTCACTTAATCACTTCCCTTCTTTACAGTCACCATTGAATGCTTAATTTATTGAAAGTTCAGACGCGTAAGACTGTAAGGGAGAGTGTGTTTGTGTGGGATTTCAGAAAAACTGATAAAGATTGGATTTTTTTTTTTGTTTGTTTGTTTTACTTTCATAAGAATCGGCGTCACTGGGGGAAGATTTCTCTGTGCGATCGCCTGCCTCACCCATTCTCTCCGGGTACTGGTTATAGTTTTGATTTTGCTTGAGAGAAATATTATTATATTCTGGGAATTAATTTGTCTGTTTTGGGAGAAGTTAAGTGTGGTTTTGAACTGGTTTTGTAGTGATGTTCTTGGCGGTGGAGTGGCGAATAGTGAGAGTGGAGTTGGGTTTGAAGGATCTGAGGTGATTGGCCGTCCAATTTCTTCCATATCTGAGGCTAACAGGAAGCGGGAACGCAACAGCATATATATGAAGGTTTGGAGGAGCTATGGTGAACTGCAGGACCGGTCCCGAAAGTATGCAAAAGGGAAAATCTTGGGGTATTATGCTCATTCCACACTTTCATTTCTTCACATCACTGTAATTTGCAGGTGCTCTATAGAATTTGTAGTTGATTTGGTAATTACGAGGTTACAAGTTGTGAGGGGTCTAGTGACCTTCTTTTGTTTGAGCTGGTTAGCTTGGTTTGAGCCGATTAGCTATGTACAACCTCTTATATAGGCAATTTAGGTTGGTTTATCTCGTTGGGGTCCTTTGGTGTCTAGTGTCCGGATTTATCCGCACACTAGAAATGTAAATGAGCCCGAGCAGCTTGTGAGCCGCTCAGCCAAAGCTCGGCTCGAGCTCAAATGTTTTAGGCTCATGGCTCGTCGAGCTGCTCGCAAGCCATATATATATATATAGTCGCGAGCCACTTGGTCAACAACGAGCTTGAGCCGAACTCGAGCCAGCTCGTTTTATAACCAAGCCGAGCTCGAGCTTCGATATTCGGTTTTCATGCTCGATTGAGCTTGAGCTTGAGCCTTATTGAACCGAGCCGAGCCGGCTTCAATTTTTGTGCTCGATTGAGCTTGAGATTGAGCCTTATCGAGCTCGAGCTCGGCTCAGCTCGTTTACATCCCTACTGCAGTGCACACTGTCGAGCAGTGACTGCGGGTTTTCCTGGTCACTAAAAAAAAAAAATGTACAAATTTGTAGTTGTTGCTGTTGCACTTGGTATTTGATGTCATGATGTTAGATGCTGCTTGTCTCAAGCCTCCCTTGAGTTTGAGATTCTTGAGCTTTTGTTGCTGTGAAAAATTTTTATGACTAAGTGGTACTGTGCAGGCTTATAGCTTTGTGCAAAAATGATGAAAGGAATAAGCTTTTTAATCAAAAATAATGTGCAATAGATGAATGCATTACTAGGAATAAGTAGAAGCCAAGAAAAATCCATATAAGGCTCGTTTAGGATTCAGCTATAAACTCTTCATCTGTACTTGTCACAAAGCTACCCTGTTGCTGCAGCTATACTCCGGGATCATGGACTGAAGGAGTTGGCGGTACAAAATTACGTGACTATAAAGTTCCAAAAACAACGACCATCTTGTTGGTTGGTCCAAAAGGTTCTGGTAAAAGCAGTCTAGTGAACAAGATTTCAGATGTTTTTGTGTCCAAAAAGTTTGCATCACAAAGAGCACAAGTGTCGTGTATGTCTCTTCTTCTCTTATATGCTTCTTAGCTGTTTGTAATATGCAGTCATGTTTATTTATGCTTTTATAAATGCATTGATTTTCAGTTAATCCTTCTATTGGAGGTGGTACCTGTTTCGCCCAGGAGTACATGATCCCGAAATGTGAAAAAGATTTCTGTCTATATGATACACCGAGTTTGTCTGATGATCAATCTAAAAATGAAGACATGCTGAAACATTGGATGACAAAAGGCGTTCGTCATGGAGAACCTATTATCAGGTGTGGACCGTGTGGTCACTGTTGCAAAAATCGGCCTAGGCACCCCTAGACCGTGGCGATTTCCCCCTAGGCGCCTAACTCGGCCGAATTGGTGGCAAACTCGGCCGAGTTAACCGGCCAACTCGGCCTTGCATTGCTAATTTTTTTCATTATATATATATATATATATATATATATATATATATATATATATATATATATATATATATATAATATGATATACACCCACACACTTGCATTGTTTTTTTAGCTGCCTAGACGCTACTCTGCTATCCGACTAGCACCTAGTGCCTACGGCAACTATGGGTGTGATTACTGAAACCTGGTGGATTTGGATTTCCTTGTTTTTGTTTCTTCACTTCTTGTTTGCTGATAATTTTAGCATATTAGGGCTTCTGATGATGTGGGTTTCGAGACTAGAATGGAGTGCAATGCTCACGATGGATACTCGCCCTTAGAGGCCCGACCCATCAACTTTGCGGTGTTTGTTGTCAATGCTCTTTCTGTTCTTGAAGCAATGGAAGGCGCAATGGAAGGCGAAGATGAAAAAATGAAACGCTATACTGAAGTCGTTTCGAAAGCATTCAATAGCCCCTTCCTATCATTCAAAGGTATTTTACCGCCCTTTTCATAACTTTTTGTGTGTTTCATTTTTGGCTACTTATTATACCATTTATACCATTAGTACATGATTTATGTTGTTTCTCAGAAGACAAGCCTGTAGTTGTTGTTACACATGGTGATTTACTCTCGCTTTCTGAACGTGTTCGTGTGCGTATTCACTTGGGGGAACTTCTGGGAATCCATCCAAAGACGCAGATTTTTGATATCCCAGGTGGCCTTCATGAAAAAGTTCAAATCTTTATCTTCTCCCGATTCATTCAGACATTTTGTTTACATGTTTAAACTTTGTTAATCTGCAGAAAGTGATGATTCTGGAACTAAAGTGGCAATTCTTGATATGCTACACTATTGCCTTTACCATGCTGATAAAAATCTACCCCTTAAAGACGGTTTCTCGAGTCGGGTAAGAATTATGATCATTATTGAATCTTACAGACAAGTTTTCACCACAGATGATTGAAACTAGTTTTTGCAGGCAAAGGTTTCACATCCACAATTGTCTATTGACCTGTTGGTGACGGCTATGCTGCTGTCGTTTGTCTTTGGCGTTTACTATCGATCCCATATTCATCACGCTGCTCGGACCTCCTCAGCTCCTGGGTCGGACTGTACTCATACGTTTTCTAGACCCGAGGCTCGCAATTTTCAGCACGCTGCTAAGGATTCCTCTTCAGCACCCGAGGCTCCCAAGTTTCAGCACATTGCTAAGGACTCCTCATCGGCACCCGAGGCTCACAATTTTCAGCACGCTGCTAAGGACTCCTCTTCAGCACCCGAGGCTCCCATGTTTCAGCACACTGCTAAGGACTCCTCATCGGCACCCGAGGCTCACAAGTTTCAGCACGCTGCTAAGGACTCCTCATCAGCACCCGAGGCTCACAATTTTCAGCATGCTGCTAAGGATTCCTCGCCATCTTTAATGCCTGATGCACAACATAGGTATGATGCAGACGGGGATTCCTCTACTAAATTCAATCCCCAGATAGATTGGTCTAAAATACGACACTTATGTGGCACGATGATTGATCAATTTCGGTCAGCAGATGAATAAGCATTGTCAATATCTGGATCCTGCAAGAACACTCAAATGTATGCATTTTCTTATGGAAACTGAAAATGTGTTTGAGCTTCATATATAAATGCTATAATAAAAAGCAGTTCTTGTATTCTCATCTTCTCATCTTTTAGATTATATGAACATCAAATCTGCCCACCCAAGAAATAAACACAGAAACACCAAATAAGTAAAAGCAATGCCATAAATTTCAAGAAAACTCGCGATTTCTACACTCAGGAAAACACACTAACATATATTTCAAAGAAAACACTTTCAGATACTGAAACTTCCCTTCTGTACTACAGATGAGGGCAACTGGCAACGAGGCGACATGATAATCTATGATTCTATGGCACTATCACTATAATTACTATAACAAATTACGCTGTGTGAACATATAGAGAATGCCTGTAACAAAAATATCATATCTACTTGCTGTGAAAATAGCTATGGTGCGTGTTTTATTCAATCCTTACTCTCTGATCGTCATAACTAAGAACCATATAGCTGAAGAAAGGCAAACTGAAGCTTTGCTAGTGAGTATTCCTATGGACTAATTATCATTTCGCTTCAGAACACGAGTTTGGAATGCTCTGCAAGAATTGCATCCTTATAGCAGGGTCTCGGGAAAATCTGCCCAGTACAGCAATCGTGGCTGTGTTACTTCCGACCTTTTCAATCCCTCGGGATATCATACACGTGTGGCTGGCTTCCACCACGACCATTACATCTTCGCCCAGGACTGATGAAGCAGTCTCGGCTATCTGTCTGGTTAGCCGCTCCTGTACTTGAAGCTTGAAACCGTAAAAATGTACTATGGACTGCAATAGGGATTTCCCGGGTGGATTGGCTCCATTCGAAAGTAAGTATCCTATATGCACGACGCCATTAAAGGGAAGCAAATGGTGTTCACATTGGGAGCAGAATGACAAGTTTACTTCGGAGCAGATACGGTCTTCATCACAGCCAATCTCGGTTTTGGGATTCAAACAATCGAATCTGCTCCTAACGAATCCGTTCAGCTTCATCTCCAAATTAGAGTTTTTAAAATTCATGAACCACATGACAAAACGAGACGGGGTTCCTACGAGCTCTTTTCTGTACGGGTCTTCACCGAGAGACTGAAGGATCGAAACCACTGCATTAGTCGTAGCTGAATTCGACGATCCCATCTTGCAGAAAAACTGAGAGGGGCACCACGATCTGTTGTGGGTGCCTTTCGCATGGACGTTTTCTACATTTATTCCTCGGAATTTTAGGAGACTCAGAAAGTCCGTCCATATATCAGCTTTCTCGTCCTCAAAAACTCCCGAGCCAGAAGTAACCAAAATCTTCACCCACCCCTGATGACTGGTGTCACAAAACGCGGACATAATATTTGGAAAATGAAGATGCGAACACTGTAGAACAACAGCAACACCAGCTGGCTTAATCGCGTGTTGTAAAGCAGTGCAAACCTCATCAGCAAGGCGTTGAGGATCCTGGAGCCGTTTTGCAAAAACATCAGCCACACGAGAGAGCTTGCTTAGTCCTACAACGCAGTGTCCAGACGGGACATACCCTACATGACACTTGATCTGGAAGGGAAGCAAGCAAGACTCACAGTACGAAAAGAGATCAATGTCACGAACAACCACAAGCCCACCCGCTCCACCAGCCTGACCAACACCACTCCCCAACCCAGCTTCCGGGAATAAAGCACCATGTACAACATCATTCACTTTTTGCCCATACCCTAGAACAGATTCACGCAAAAATAGTCAATCAGTAATAGTCGAGATAATAACACCATCTAGGATATTAGGCACAGAAACTCAGCAAACATATCCGAAAAGCTTCCATTTACAATAAAACTTCAGTGTACATAGAAAGTTTTATAGTTTTATAAAGGAGAGAGTGAAGTTTCAGACAGCAGATAACCAACTAGCCACCCACTCTTATTTATGTTCTCGAGTATTGATTGTAAGATTTTCCCTTGATAATATATATTATATATAGGGCCTTAATTAAATGGTGCAAGTTGACTAGGCTTATTAAGTGGTCTGGTGGAACTGACTGAATAACTAGAAGTTGTTAGTCCACCGACTCTGTGCCTAAGGATGATGGATTAGATAGCACATTCAGTTACGGTATTCAAACTGCTCAGTAGACACCAATACACCATCTAGGGTTCTGAGTCTAGTCTGAGGCAAAACAAGGCTAACGGTCTACCGTTAAAAGGCAACACAACAGGAACATCAACTGTGGCTGGAGATTAACACGGCTATCGCTTCCGCTCATACGAGGTCAGATCTCTCATACATTAATATTCAGTATAGGTAGATTATTTACATCTAACATTGATTTGTCTACTACAAAGCATTTTATAACTACACCATCTACTTGTCATTGTTTTCCCCTTTTAACAATTCAATTAAGAAAAACATGATGACAGTTATAGACAAAGACACATCACAATCAGCAAAACCTCCTAACCACCTCTGCAACAAGCCATTCATTAACATTCTAATACACGCGATACAACGAGAATAAGTATGCCAACAAACTACCTTACTTCAACATTGTCTACTACTAGTTCTCAACAGAAATTTGTTCCAGTAAGCTCTACCATATCTTAATTACATACATACCAAACTACACTAATAACATACAAGCAGAATTAGAGATTGAATACCTCGGGTCCCTTCACGGAGAGCCTTGGCAACCCGAAAAGGAGTTTTCCTGAGACCTTCTCTGTTGATATCCTCACCCAGAGCTTGCAGGAGGACTCTCACAGAATCCTCAATAGCCAGAGTCTCAGGTTCATTCTCAAACCCCAGCTCAATACAACCCCCAAGCCCCACTCCGTTCTCTAGCTCCACATTGTAATGCTCCTCAACTAAAGCACCCATTGACACAACAACAATAACAAAGAAATGTTGGCTACCAGATCAAATCCAATCAAATCTGCAACATTCAACAAAGATCCAACCAAAAAAAAAAAAAACAGCAAGGTTTCAGCGAAAGATTCAAACTTTTCAGATACCCAGATCGGGAAATCCGCTACCAATCAATTCCCACACGGCTATACGTGCGGTGCACATGTATCCGCCTCTATCCGGGCTTTATTGCTCAAATCTTTAGCAAAAATAATTGTAAAAATGGGGGAAAAATAAAAAGCTTTAACCTTCAGAGAAGACGATGGTGGAGTGGTGGGGCAGTGACGAGGAAGAAGAGGAGATGTGTACACAGCCACACAGCTCTGTAAGTTGCAGTTGATATTGGAATGTGTGGAAGGGCGCCTTATAGCTTCATTCATGCCTCCTTCCTCTTTCTTTTTTAATTATTCCTTTAGGTTTTGTGGGACCACGATGGACCCCGTCATGTTTTGCGGCGGATACAAGTTTGGATCTTTATAATGGAATGTTTGGTTGCATGAATTGAAATTTAATCACCGCTACACGTAGTTAGCTTATCAGTTAATTTTGATTTATTTGATCATTATTAATTGTTTTATTTAGTTAAATAATTAATATGAGTATTAATTATTTAATTTTTTTATAACAATTTATTGTTTAAAATATTAAAATTCAAAAAATTATTTAAAGTAATTTTTTCAATAAATTATATTGTAAATTATATTCAATATAATTCCATGAAGTGTAAATTATATTGTTTGGCGGAAGGGAATTGTAATTTAATAAAATTGCAATACTCTTAATTCAATGATTTGCAATTCATAACCCCTCATATGAATTGCAATTCAACAATACAAAGGAAAGAAAATGATATATTTGCTCATTATTATTATTATTACACTAAGGCATTTAAGTTTTTATATCACTTATATTACTCCCTACCAAACGCCCTATTATTATTTATTTAATTTGAATTCATACTTTATTTCAATCTTATTATTATTTTTCACCGAATTATAATCTTTTCTCCTAATTTATTCATTCTAACAAAACGCCCAATTATTAGTGGATTTCAAGAAATTTTGCATAAAATTGTATTTTGTACAGTTTTTTAAAGAAAAGATTTACCCTATGATTTATGGCCTTTGGAATTATGTGTCCTTTTATTGGTTGGGTAACGAGTGAAATCTCTAACCACTAAAAATACTCTGTGTGAATGGTTCATCTAAAAGAATACAAGCTTGACCAGAATTGAATTTATAATCTTTATGTACGAAAATCATGATTCACCCCACTTGGCAGTTCGATCTTTTCGAAGTAAGTTTTTATTTATTTTTTAATCCTTGTGGTTTGCATGTGTAACTTCAATGGCAACCAACAACCAACCTACCACAGTGAAGTCCTACCATGATGTTGGGTTGATGGAGCTTCATTATCGAAATTACAGTATTCAAATCTTAAAAGCTAGATAACTCGGTTAATTAATTATTTAATAAAAAATCACATAATTCAAATATTAAAAATATAATTTGATATAAGTATTACAAATAATTAATTAATTAATTAAAAATCACATAATCCAAATCTTAAAAAATCATTTGATATAACATACTGTAATTAATTAATCATTTAAATAAAATCACATAATTCAAATCTTAAAAAGATCATTTGATATAACGTATTACGATTAATTAATCATTTAATTAAAAAATCACATAATTCAAATCGTAAAAAGATCATTTACTATAATGTGTTACACTTAATTAATTATTAAAATAAATACTCACATAATTCCAATCTTAAACGATCATTTGTTATATTAATTAATTATTCACATAATTCAAATCTTAAAAAGATAATTTAATATACCGTGTTACAATTAATTAATCATTTAATTTAAAAATCACACAATTCAAATCTTAAAAAGATCATTTACTATAACGTATTACACTTAATTGACTATTAAAATAAATACTCAAATAATTCCAACCTTAAAAGATCATTTGTTATATTAATTAATTAAAAAATCACATAATTCAAATCTTAAAAAGATCATTTGACATACCGTATTGCAATTAATTAATCATTTAATTTAATAAATCGCATAATTTAAATCTTAAAAAGATCATTTGCTATAGCTTATTACACTTAATTAATTATTTAAATAAATACTCACATAATTCAAACCTTAAAAGATCATTTGTTATATTAATAATTATTTAATTAAAATATCACATAATTCAAATCTTAAAAAGATCATTTAATATTACAATTAATTAAACTTTTAAATAAAAAATCATGTAATTTAAATCTTGTAAAGATCATTTAATATAACATATTGCAATTGATTAATTAAAATTTACATAATACCATCTCAGATGATTCATTTTAATTAAAACAGTATTATACGTTTCATGTGAAATAGTCTCTCACAATATATATCTATTTTATAAAATCTTAAAATTATAATTTTAACTTTGAATGTCACCATTTTGGATTTTTCCTACACCAACCACATGATCCACTTGCAAGTTTAAAAAAAAAAAAAAAAAAAAAAAAAAAAGGGTTGGTCCCCCATTCCTTTGGGGCTTTTTGGATTTGCACTTTTTAGCACTATCTTTAATGGGTTTGTATAGTCGATCAAAGTACCATTCAAATCTTAGACCAATTAAGTGTAGTGCGTGCATGTGCGCACAAATAATTAAGTCAACACATCACCAAACATACCAGTGGGAGGATGACAGTTGCTAGCATATTCCCTATTGTGTTTTCTTATTCTACACTTTAGACTTTCTACCAAAAATCAATGAAAATTCAACTAAAACTCGAGTTATAACATCAAAAATCAATGAAAGTTCAACTAAAACTTGCGTTATAATGTCAACTGATATTGGTACGACACTATTATGAATTTGATTTTCAGTAAAAAGAGAAAACTTTAGTGCGGATCATTCACTGATTTGTATAAAAAGGAAAAAAATTGGTTGAAAGATTTTTATTTTTTTTTAGTTTTTGTCAGATTTTAAGGACCCATGGTGGAGGAAAGAGAGGAAAAAAAATTAAAAAATGAAAAATAAAGGTGGTTGCCAACTGAAATGCATGCGCCCAGCGGCCGCCATGCATGCATTTTTTTTGTTTTCCTTTTTTTCCTAACAAAAACCGGGTCTGTGGAAATTAACCCAGGAGTTTCTGTTTCTCTCTCCTCTCTATCAACCCCCACACCCCCCGCTAAGGATGCTCTAATAGGGCAAATTATGCTGTGCATCCGTATGCACCATGTATGGTGCATACGGATGCAAAAACGACGTCGTTTTAATAAAACACGCGTCTCCCTTTAAAAAAAAAAATCAGGTTCGATTCCCAGCATCAACATATGAACTAAAATTCCATAATCGATGAACTATAATTCCATAATCTAATTTATGAACTAAAAATTCCAAAATGAATGAACTAAAATTCCATAATCTATAAACTAAAATTTCAGAATCGATGAACTACAATTCCATAATCGATGAACTATAATTCCATAATCAATGAACTATAATTTCATAATCTATGAACTAAAATTCCAGAATGAATGAACAATATAATGTTGTTGCTGGGAATCGAACCTGAAATTTTTTTTTAAAAAGAGACACGTGTTTTTTAATAAAACAATGTCGTTTTGGCATCCGTATGCACCATACATGGTGCATACGGATGCACAGCATAACGATTGCTCTAATAGATTCTTGGCCATATAGAGTGGATCATATCAGACTTGTCACTTTGTATGGGTCTCCATCTTTCACCATAAAACTTCTGGCTCTGAAATCTGAAAATATATTGATTGATGTTTTATGTGAACCTTGGATCAAGACACTGAAAGAAAGCAGGAGATATAACAAGGAAAAAAACACAGTACTTGTAATTCAAGCGTACAGATTTAGGGTCTGTTTAGTTCATGAGTTTACACATTATCAAATTTTACTGTTCATAACGGTGTCATTTCTTTTATGAGTTTACACATTATCAAATTTTACTGTTCATAACGGTGTCATTTCTTTTAATAAAAAGAAACAGTACTCGTTCCGTATAATTAATTCTGTTTGTATAACATTCCAGTTTCATTTTATATACATTGTAGTTTCATTTCAGCCCAACTAATATTTTATTTTGTTATAGCGAGATCTGTTATTAAATTTCATTTTATACACACTGTAGTCTTATTATAACACCATTAAATTATAATTCTAATTCTAATTCAACTACAGTTTCATTGGACAATATACACTCAAATATGTGAAATTGTAGTTTCAGTTTTATTTTATACATATTATAATTTCATTTCAACACAACTAAAGTATCATTTCAATGTAATTGTATTTTCATTTGATAATATAAACACAATATGCGAGACAAATTAAATTATTCAATTTCATTTTAGATACACGGTAATTTCATGTTATTTCTTTACTTTAAAAAACGGTGTCGTTTTCGAACCATGGTCCACCATATAACAACCGTTACACATTAGGAATGGGAATCAAAATCATAATTAGTGTTTAGTTGACAACTTTTTAAAACACAACTATGAATTTTGATTACCACTTCAATTAAAAATCCCATTCCCTAATTAAAAGGGGTATCATTTCATTATATTAGGAGCAATTACCTTAATTTTTTATTTTTGTATTTTAAAAACATTTATTCCCATTATAGGGTCATACACAACCAAACATCAATAGTGATAATCATTCCAATTTCACCATACTACCAAATATGCAAAATACTTTCACCAGAACTCATTACCATTACCAAGTATTTGATTCCGATTCTGATTCCCATGTGCGAACCAAACACACCCTTAGTATCATAATACTAAACCCAACATGCTTCAGTTAGATCACAATTCCAGGAATGGATTGTTTCTCATGTTGGACCACCTATTGGTGCAGGTTCCATCCACTTGATCAAAATGTTCTTTTTTGTTTTCCAGATTCTCATAAATTACAAATGGGAACATCATTGCATCTCTCCCTCCCAAACAAAATGCAGTACATCTTACAAGATGAACTTACCAGGCTATATTTCTACGCGATATCTCTCAGGAGTAGGGGGAGATTGTCTTGCTTCTTGTCCTTGTTTGACGTGCAGGATGTAGAGGTTCACCATCCCATGACAGTCAGAGCGCCCTTATTCTTCAACTGCATCTTGTCTCAGACGTGTAGCGTTTGACCAGCCACCTGACCTGACCTGACCAGCGACTTATTGTGGCGCATGTTATTTTCCAACCAGCTTGCTCATTGCCACGGTTACCCTTTCATCTGTGATCATTTTGTGGCTATCATAAAAATCTAATATCTCCATTGCTATGTTTTTTACCTGTCAAATCATTGGGATTCAGATACAACAGTTAACCATCCTTGTGATTAATAAAAAGAACATCATTTCCCCAATGACCAGATTAATAGATAGTACCAAGCTACCTGAGGATATAAACAAGATAACATCCGTCAGTTTTACCCTTCGACATTTGACAATACAAAAGGACACAGACGATATGCCACATGGCAGATGGCAAGATAGTGACTTCTTAGAGTAGGTTTAAGTTTCAAATCAATAGAGTAATGTATTACCCCAAGTTAATAGGCATACAAGAGGAACAGTGAATTACTACGGTGTGCTTGTGTTATGCTACTAAAACTGATATCACCATCTTGGACATGCTCATTGACACTTTGATATGATGCGGAGGGCGGGAATGGCAATAGATGATATGCATTGGTTTTCCAATTTGTTGCTTCAATAATTGTTTGATGCATGTTAATTTATCACTGAGATCACACACAAAGATTACAAGATTTTGTTTGCAGCAGTCATACCACATTCATGTCAGCTTGAAGCTCCTCAAACCAGGAAGTGATTTCCTTGTCTTTCAACACACTTGCAATGTATATGCATGCTAATGCTATCAAGTGTGGTGGGTGTACAAGAATTAGATCCATCTTATACGTATCGTTCACAATTCCCCTGAAAAAAGTAGTAATATAGAAAAATACATAGTAAGATATTAATAATTTAATATATTATAGTTTGTCATTATACACGGATATGACATGAAGAAATAACTCAACAGATACTGTAACCACCAGTTGGAGATAAGTCTCTTACCAAGTCAGTTGAATTGCATCATTCATGCCAGCATCCTGAAGCAACCTGACAGTACATGAAAATAAGTTTAGTAATTATGAAATTATCTACTTGGAAGAAATGGATGAAAGCAATATACTAAAGAAAAGTAAATTACATTTCCTCTACTTAACTTTCTAAATTAGAATTTGAACAATAATTGAATGGGCTGGTTATACCATTCCTTAAATTCATGAACAAGATATCAATATTGTAAATGTGTAACTGCGTAATAGTTATTGATTGTGCAACATGTAAAAGCTTTAGGAAGAATTTCTTACCGTGATAGACACCAGTATGGATGGAATAAGATATGAATAAATTCATGAATATATATTAATATTATAACAGCATAAAAGTAATATTGATTGTGCGACATATAAAAGCTTTAGGAAGTAATTTCTTACTGTGATAGGCACCGGTATGGATGGAATACAACCAAGTAATAATCCAGGGCTTCCAAAACTTTCATTTCCATTTCTAGGATGTCTTTTATTTCATACCTATACTTATCATCTGGATCTGGAGAAATATAATGACATGTTAGTAGCATATAAGGAGTAGAAAGGGAGAAAAAGTGTAAATTGGCTGTTAGGATATTTAATTGTTTACATAATTTCCTGATGTAAAAAACAAGTAGTCTAGCCTGCACTGTGCTCTCTTCTGCTTTTGATGCCAAGTATAAGCAGGCTGGCGCAACCAGACGAGGATCATATTCTGTCATACTTTTTCTGAAAGCAACACAATAGAGTTCACACAGTTAACATAAAGATGCAATTAGTTATGCTTCTAAATCTGAAGCAATGTTAGGATCCTAACAACATGCAAAAAAAATTTAAAGGGTGTAGAGTTGAGTCATAAGAAAACTAAATATCACCAAAAGGAACAAAGAGACAGATTGATAACTCATTAGTTGTTCATCCCATTCCTAAAATGAGAAATTATCAGAATGTACCTGACATAAACACGTCGCATGTATGAAATGGCAGTAGCTACAACCCTGATAATAACAAAAGTGTGAGAAACAGCCAAAAGTTGGATGAAGTGGCAAAGCAAAGTGTTTCCTGCTGGAGTTTTTATTTACAACCACCCCATATCCAGGACAACACTCTGTGATAAATAATGACAGCCACACACTATTCTGCTAAAAAGGATGTGACTTTTTAAGCCAGCCTAGGTGCAGATAGGAGAAGAGTATATCTACAATCCAATCAGCCACATTTTGCAGAAAGAAACACAAACCTTTGCCTTAATGTGACAGTTTGAGCCAATCTTGCAATGTCTGGAAAGAGAGCAAAATGGATATTAATGTGAAAGAACAATGTCAAAGCTGCAGCTTTTAGAGTAGCATTTACAAAAACAAGAAAAGGCATCAATCCATTTAAGAAACTTTCAACCAATGAGAAGAACATATGTAAAATTTACTATCCTCCAAAACTCCATCAACACTTAGATGCAATCCTATTGGTGGTGTTTTATCATCCATAGACAGCAAGTAGGAATAAAGAATGCTAGGTTGGAGCTTTACAACAGGTATTTAATTATTGATTTATTTGTCTTTTGCATTACATCCAAAGGAATAACCGAATAAGGACCTTTCTTACACAGAAACCACACAACTGGTCCAGTAACAGGTGACATTCTATTAAAGCAAACTTAAGTTTAATCAAGATACACAACGGAAATACTCAAGTTCCCATAAAAATCACAAAAATTCTGCAGTTTTTTTTGTTTTTTTTTTCAATTTTGGAAAGAAATCTCAGTACATAAATTAGTAGAAAAAGAAAAAAGCTTAGAGAAGCAGATATCTAAACAAACAATCTTTTTTTCCCAACAGATATAGATTACAAACGAAGAAAGGAGAAAAGGAAAGATACAATTGGACATATGGAGCTTGATGAGCTTGCAATCCTCAAGAGTGATGCCTCTCTCCTTATCAAGTGGATGCACAGCATTCACCACTTCAGGATCCAGAAGCAGTTTGCTGGAAATTGAAAGCAATGGAAACTTTTATGAAATTCAAATTCTACTCAGAAACGCAAAATCAAAACAAACAAATACGGAGGCAAAGGGAAAGATGAGTCGAACGTACCAGTGAGATGAGGTCCAGAAATTGGCAGCCATTGTTGTGTTGATTAAACTTCGGAAGAAAGAAATAACAGAGCTTGGTGAGTTACGGTAATGGCAATTTCACGTTTCACTCAACCGGAAGCTACCAAGAAGAAAATGAATGCTCTAATGGATCCACCGATAAACTCGTTTGGGCTTTCAGTGTTCAAAAAAAATTATGATAAGCCCAAAATATTAAAGCCCAATTATACTAGGCCCAAAATATTGTCATTTCATCTCTACTTTAGCATTTTTTATTTCCATATTTATACAGACTATTAATTAGGGTGTGTTGGGTTTACACATCAGCAATGAAAATTAAAATCATAGTTATTATTTGGTTGTTAACTTTTTAAAACACAACTATATAATTTGTTTATCCCTTCAATTAAAAACTTTATTTCCTAATTAAAAATCATTATCATTCCATCTTATTCATCATCATCTGTCACCTCGTGATCTGTCGCCTCCTCACTACATCCTTCATATTTTTGTTTTGATTTTTTTTTGTTCATATTGGTACTTTAGATGTCATTATATTAGAACCAATTGCTTTGATTTTTTGTTTTTGTATTTTTAAAACTTTTATTCTCATTATAAAGTCATACATAACTAAACATTAATATTGGTAATCATTATAATTTCACCCTACTACTAAACATACAAAATACTTTCACCAAAAATCCATTACCATTTATTTCCATAAAATCCATTACCATTGATTTTCATTCAAATTCTGATTCCATGTGCGAACTAAACACACCAATCCATTACAATTACCAAATATTTAATTTCCATTTCAATTCCAATTCAATGTGCGAACTAAATACACCCTATATCACGATTTTGGTTTCTAACTAACCGAAATTGTCAAGGTTCTTAACCTTCAATATCAGTTCAAATCAAAATCTGCTAAATAAATCTAATTACACTTTGCTGGGATTTCGATCAAATTTTATTTTTTTTGGGGGGGGGGGGGGGGGGGGGCTAATTAAGAAATTCAATTTCACTGTTTGTTTGAGGAGATTTATGTGACATGTCAAAACTTTAGGGGGTGTTTGGTTGGATGGAAAACATTTTTCATGGAAAATGTTTTCCTAAAAGTGAAGGAAAATGATGTTTTATGTTGTTTGGTTGGATGGAAAACTTTTTCCATTGGAAAAAGTTTTCCTTAAGAACAAGGAAAATAAATTCCTGGCTTATGCTAGGTATTTTGTTTTCCATGGAAAACTAATATGATAATTTTACCCTCATCATTCTTTATTAATTACTCTTATTATTATTATATTATTATTATTATTGTTTAGGGTTATATTTGTCATTATACTCCTTATTCCTTACCCTTCCAAACTCAACCAAACAATGGAATTCATATTTCCAGTAATTTCTTTTCCACCAACCAAACAATGTAATATGTTTTCTTTGGAATTTATTTTTCATGGAATTTCAATTCCATTTCCTTTCAAATATTTTCCAGCGAACCAAGCGAGCTGTAAGTTGTATTTTTCTTCAAAAGGTGGCAAAGAAGTACTATCATGAATTTATGATTGATGCTATATGTGAATTGTGAACCTTGGATCAAGACACTGATAAAAGGGCAGGAGAGGAACAAGGGAAAAACACACAGGAATTGAAATTCAAGCTTACAGAATTTCAATCATCATACAACATCCAGCCTGCTTTGGCTAGACTGCAAAGCCTGAAATGGAATCTTTTTTCATGTTGGTGCAGGGACCATCCACTTTTTATCAAAATGTCCTTTTTTTCCCCTCCAGATTCTCACACATTACAATTATGAACAATACTGTGTATCTAATTTCCAGACAAATCGTGTACATCTTACTAGATGAATTTACCTACTATATTTCAGCTCATTATCTCGCGGGAGGAGAGGGGTCATCTCCCTTCTTGTCCTCGTTTGACTAGCAGGAAGTACGGGTTCAGCATCTTATTCCTCAACCGAATATTGTTCTCTGTCGTGTAACGTGTTCAGCCACTCGACATCACCAGTGATTTGCTGGTCATGGGGCGTGTTACTTTCCAGCCAGCTTGCTCATTGCAGCATTTACTCTTTCTTCCGTGATCATCTTGTGGCTGTCATAGAAATCTAATATTTCCATTGCTATGTTTTTTACCTGTCACATCATTGATATATAGACAGACAAGATGATGTGCATCAGTTTCATGATTTGTTTCCTAAATAATTATTTGATGCATGTTAATTACTATGGGTATTGCACACGAAGGTTAGAAGATTTAGTTTGCGGGCATACCACATTCATGTCAGCCCGAAGCTCCTCAAACCAGGAAGTAGTTTCCTTCTCTTTCAACACACTTGCTATGTATATGCATGCTAATGCTATCAAGTGTGGTGGATGTATTAGAATTAGATCCATCTTATATGTATCATTCACAATTCCCCTGAAAAAGTAGCAATACACGAAAAAGACATTAAATATCACAGTTTGTCAAAACCACACAGATATCGCTTATAAAGAAATATAAGTCAAAAGCTACTGTAGCCTGCAGTCAGTGTTGCAAAAATCCCACCTCGGCGCCAGCCGGCCGCCTAGCGTATCACCATAATCAGTGGTCCAGGCGGTTGACTAGGCCGCCTAAGCAACGCCTAGGCCGCTTAGGCGCTGACCACCTAGGCCTCCTAAGCACCGACTAGGCCGCCTAGTCGGCAGATTAGCTATTGTTTTTTTTTTTTAATTGGGTTATTTCACTCAAAACGATAATAACCCTAAATTGTTCAAACTCTAGATGTTTTTTAGGTTAATATTTAATATTTTAATATTAACTATTAAAGTATTAAATAGTTTATAATTATTAGTCTTAAAAAAATTTAAAAATTTTAAACATATCTTTAAAAAATAAAAATTAAAAAAAATACACCGGCGCCCTAGGCGCTAGGCGGCACCTAGCGATTTTTTCAACCATGCCCGTAGAGAATAAGTTCCTTACCAAGTCAGTTGTGTTGTATCATTCATGCCAGCATCCTGAAGCAACCTGACAGTACAAGAAAATAAGTGAACTACTAATTAAACAATGGATGAACTGATGAAGCAATATAGTAAAGAAACTTTAGAATTTGAATAATAATATCATTCCTTAAATTCATGACCAATATATAAATCATATGAAAGTTATATTGATTGTGCAACATATAAAAGCGTAAGGAAGTAATTCTTACTGTGATAGAGACCGGTATGGGTGGAATACAACCAAGTAATAGTCCAGGGCTTCCAAAACTTTCATTTCCATTTCTAGAATGTCCTTTATTTCATATCTATACTTATCATCTGAATCTGAAAAAATAAAATGGCATGTTAGTACCATATAAGGAGGTATATATAAAGGGACAAGAAGTGTAAATTGAATGCTATAGGATATTTAATTGTTTACATAATTTCTTGATATAAAATACAAGGTGTCTAGCCTGCACTGTGCTCTCTTCTGCTTTTGATGCCAAGTATAAGCAGGCTGGAGCAACCAGACGAGGATCGTATTCTGTCATACTTTTTCTGAAAGCAACAAAAGAGAGTTTACAGAGTTAACTTAAAGATGCAATTAGTTATGCTTCAAAAATTAAGCAAAGTTAGGATCCTATCAACATTATACAACTTTTTAAAAGGATTTTGTGTTGAATCATAAAAATCCAAATATAACCAACAGGAACAAGAAAACAGATTGATCAACTTAATGAAAGAGAATAAATCACCAGTTGTTCACCCCACTCCTAAACTAAGAAATGACTGTAATATACCTCACATAAACACGTCTCATGTAGGAAATGGCAGTAGCTACAACCCTGATAACAACCGACATGTTAGAAACTGCCAAAAAATGGATAAAATGGCAAATCAAAGTGTTTTTTTCCTAGAGTTGTTATTCACAACAACCCCAAATCCTGGAGAACACCCTGTCTCAAATAATGGTAGGTACATACTAGATGTGACTTTTTAGCCATACTAGGTGCATATAAGACATAAGAGAATATCGTATCTACTATCCAATCAGCCACATTTATCAGAAGGAAACACACACCTTTGCCTTACTTTGACATTTTGAGCCAATCTTGCAATATCTGGAAAGCGAGCAAAATGGATGTTAGAATATATGGCAGAATGAAAAACAATGTGTCAACATTGCAGGTTTTAGAGTATAGCTTGTTTCAAATGCAAGAAAAAGGCATCAATTCATTTAAGAAATCTGCAACCAATGAGAAGAAAGACGCGACATTTTGTTTAAACAGATATATCCTAGATTAGTCCATTAGCAATTATATGGAGTCTTGTCATCTGTATGCAGAGAACGTTGCTGAGATAGAACAGGTTTGATTTATTGGTTTATATGTCTTTTGCAAAATGCAAAACATCCATTCGAAACGAAGGGCCTTTATTACACAGAAACCACACAAAACAGAAGACATTCTACTTAAGCAAATTCCTCGGAGTAAATAATAATTTATTCACAATCGAATAAGAATAAAATTTTAACATCAATTATCAAAACTGAATTTAAGCTTCACGCATAAGTTTAATCAACATACATAACAATAATACTTAAATTCCCGTTAAAATCACCACCAAAAAAATTAATAAACCTCAATTTTTTTAAATTTTTTTCTATTTTGCAACGAAATTTCAGTACATAAATTAGTAGAAGAAAGAGATATATAAATAAACAATCTACAAATCAAGGAAGAAGAGAGATACAGTTGGACATATGGAGTTTGATGAGCTTGCAGTCCTCGAGAGTGAGGCCTCTGTCCTTATCAAGCTGCTGCACAACATCCACATATTCAGGATCCAGAAGCTGCTTGCTGAAATTTGAAACCAACGGAAAAAAATTACGAAATTCAGATCAAATTATAAGCAGAAAAAAACATGATCAAAACAAACAAATACACAAAAATTAAAAAAGGAAACACGAATCAAGCTTACCAGTGAGATGAGGTCCAGAAATTGGCAGCCATGATTTCAGTTGGCGAGAATTCAGAAGATGGAACACAACAGGACTCAGTGAGTTACAGTAGTGGAAATTTCACTCAGTCGCAGACTACGAAGGTGAAATAAGAAATTGATTCGCCGAAATGGATCCATCAGTTCTG